CAAACATGCACAATCATCGTGTGCACAAACGATGACGTCAGAGTCTTAAGGTCGGTCAAAAATGGGGTGTCTATAGTTTTCAACAACAAAGATGAATTTCTTACTTGGGTACGTGATATTGGAAGGGCAAATGGCTTTGTTATTATTATAAGGATGTCACACTATGGTAGCGGTCGCAAAAGTCTAAGAATTTATCTTGTTTATGAGCGGAATGGAAAGTATAGATCATGTAAGAAGTTGAAAGACGGCTCAAAAGCCTTGTTGAGACAAACTGGTACGAAGAAGAGCAAATGTCCATTTGATTTGAGGGCATACAAGTTGAAAACAAGCGATGAATAGACATTGCATGTAGTTTGTGGACTACATAATCATCCAACTATGGAGCATCTCCAAGGGCATACATATGCAGGGAGATTGTCAACTAATAAAAAGTCACTGTTAGTAGATATGTCAAAAAGCCTACTAAGACCAAAAGAGATACTCATTACACTCAAACAGAGGGATGCCCTTAATATGAGCATAATGAAAATAGTTTACATGTACGACATCGATGTAGGGTTCTACAGAAAGCTAGTAGATCCTAGATGTAACAACTACTGGGTGAATTAGCGAAACATAAGTACATTGAGCGTCATCAATGTGAGAAAAGCTCTATGACTGTCACTGACTTGTTTTGGGTACATCCAGTGAGTTTGGATTTGCTTCGTACATTCCCTTGTGTTTTGATTATGGATTGCACATATAAGACGAATAGATATCAGCTTCCTCTTATTGAAGTTGTGGAAGTGACATCAACTCATATGACATTCTTCGTGGCTTTCGCATAGTTGCAAACTGAGCGGGGTGATAATTATGTATGGACGTTACAAACATTGCATGATCTTATAGGCAACAGTGTTTTACCTAAAGTCATTGTCACTGACAGATAGCTTGTCTTGATGAATGCCATTAACAACACCTTTCCGAATGCTCAGCATTTGCTATGTCGTTGGCATATTAATAAGAATGTATTGGCGAAATGTAAAAAAATGTTTGAGATAAAAGAAAAATAGGAGAAGTTTAACACTACATGGAACTATTTAATATTGTCATCGACTGAAGAGAAGTACAATGATCACCTTGTAATACTGCATAAGGATTTCAATAATTAGCTAAGTGTGCAAGTCTTAACATCTCCATAATGTTTACAATTGTAGCGTTGTTGCCTTCCTACCACGACCATGAACGAATCTTAAACGAGTGATTATGACACTTCAAGGGCCTCATTTCATCAGCACCATTCCAATTAGTTGCGGTAACATGACTTTTAAAACTTTTAAGGATTGATGGATCAGTTGGCCCTCTCGGAAATGGCTAAGTAAGGATATCTTCATCAATAATGTCAGCATCATCACTAGTAGGGTCATCATCTATAGCAATATCCCATAACTGGTGCATCATGTATAGGATCATCATCCATGGCAATGTGTGCATCATCATCATGCACTCAAGCACGTCCACATCCACGTTCAACATAATTCACGAAGTCTTCTGTTCGAAGCTGTTATTGACCGACGTTAACTGGGACCAACATCCACCTGCATAAGGCAAATTATTCTCATTAACCCAATATAGCATTTATAGTGAAAATACTAATAAATATACAATCAAATCATCAAATTGAAGTCATCAATCAATATAGAAATAACAACTACTTGTGTTAACAATACATGGTTATCAGAATCCCGATCCGGATCTTACGATCCATTTGAGTGCAATCGATCCGGATCGTGTAAAAAACTCCTTATAGGTAGGATCTTTCGATCCTGGTAGTGGGATCTTATAGGATCGCGGAATCCCGATCCGAATCTGATCCTATCCGATCCAATTTACAAGCCTTGTTTTGTATTGTATGACATATTTTGTTGTAAATTTTATATTTGTTGTCTAAATATCAATTTATGTTGTCAAAATAAATAATAAAAATTAAGTAGTATTGAATCAAATAGACTAAGAAAAACAAACTAGGAAACAAACATTCAAATATTGCAGTAATTTAAGAAAATTAAATAGTCGGAAAAACAAACTTAGCTTTAGCGGAGTCTAAGAAGGGTAAGATGATTGTAACTTTATCCCAATTTCTGGAGAAATTATTTTTGTGACTCGAATCTGCTCCACCAGGGATGCTAACGACAAACCTTATCATTCGACTAAGCTACTCTTTTGAGTTCTTAATCTATTTTCATATCCAATTTTGTTAAATATTTTTTCTTCACTTTTTATGCATTATTGTACATTGTAAAGTATTTTGTTATAAAAGGATCATCATCCATGGCAATGTATGCATCATCATCATGCACTCAAGCACGTCCACATCCACGTTCAGCATAATTCACGAAGTCTTCTGTTCGAAGCTGTTATTGACCGACGTTAACTGGGACCAACATCCACCTGCATAAGGCAAATTATTCTCATTAACCCAATATAGCATTTATAGTGAAAATACTAACAAATATACAATCAAATCATCAAATTGAAGTCATCAATCAATATAGAAATAACAACTACTTGTGTTAACAATATAATGTAGAAATACCAATGCTGCACAGATTTTCTTTTCTATTGTTATGCATCGAAGTTTGTAAAAAAAATAAATACATAAGCATATCCATAAAATAATATTATTGGAAAAGAACTTAAGGTAAAACCAATCTTGATGACCTATGTGGTCTAAATATATATATATATATATATATATAATAAAAGGAAAAAAAATCCATTCGGAACTTCAATGCCGAAACAACACGTAATTTTCGAAACTAAACTGTCGAAAACATGGCATCATTTCGAAACTACAAAATCGAAGAAATTCATCAACTTTGAAAACTAATAATTGAGAATTTATTTTTATTCAAAAGTAATTTGTTGAAATAATACAATTTATTCGGAAGTTATGTTCCGAATTCACTCTATCTTTTCAGAAACTCAGTGCCGAAAGCCTGAAATCGTCACTCACAAGACTGAAATCAAAGGTTCTATACCACTAGAGTGCACATAGATCTGAAATGATAAATACAATAACAAAATGATAAATATAATAAGAAAATGGAAAGATTTCTTACCTTCAACACTATTTTGGAGGATTTATAATGATTTTCAATGGAGGTCTTCTATGCAAATCTTCAATGGAGGAAATTTCACTTCAGACCAAAGTTTTCAAGAGCATGGATGGGTCAATGTGAAAGTAGAGTCAATCAAAAGTGTATAGAAAGAGGGTCAATAGTGTGTGTACAATGGTTATGAGTGAAGGGTGTAATTGTAACTTTAAGTATGTGGATTGAGAAGATTAATTGATAATCAAATTAATAGGTGTGTGTATTGAGAAAAGATGTGCCCTGAGATAATTAGGTGTGTGAAAATAGAATTTCCTATGTCTGGATCTTTGAACAAAGAGAATCTAAAATTAGATTTATGGACAAGTGCTTTTTATTTTAATATCTATCTAAAATTTGAATTAGTTTTGATCGTTTTAATCTTACCAAAATGAGGTCATTATAATTATGTAAAAACTATATTTTTCTTAAATTTTAAGTACTGTGAGTCTAATTTACCCTATATAAAATTAATAATCATTTCATTTTTTCTCTCTCTCTAAATTTTTTTAGTTTTAAAGTGATTAAAAAAATGAATTATAAAATAAATCAGTCAATTACCCTATATGAAATTAATAAAAATGAATTATATAAAATTAATAAGGAACTTTTTTTCATAAATCTTGTTTCTAACACTTTTATACCATAAAACTCAAATCATTTTTGATTATCTCATTAGGTCTCATTCAGTGTAGTAAGACCAAAGTACTCTCCCTCCATTCTAAAAACAAAACCATTCATATTCCTCATATTTTCACTCCAAAAAAATGCATTAACTACACACCATTATTTAATGTTGATATATATTACACACATAAAATTAAATATGGCTCTTTATTGATTGTCATTATATTTTAATAGTTCTCATTCATCCAAATGTTGACTGTACGTGATGACGTGAATGTTCACATCAGATGACATGAATGTAAATGTTCATATCAGATGACGTTGTGATAAATATGATGTTAAGGTTCATATCAGCATTGTATCAAATTACACAATTACAAGCCTCAACTTTCATTTGAATATAAACATGACGTGAATATTCACATTTTTATGTTTTAGTGTGAACATTCACGTCATTTAATATTAACATTTGTATTCACATCCATATGTTTTAATATGAACATTTACGTCATTTGATGTAAACGTTCACATTCACATCATCTGATATAGACATTCACGTTATCACGTACAGTCAACAATTAGATGCATGGAAACTACCAAACATAATGAAAATTAATAAAAAATCATGTTTAATTTTGTATGTAATGTATATCAACATTAAATAGTGGTATGTAGTTAATACATATTACCATTTTTTTTTTTCCGATTCAAATACATATTAACATTAACTATAAGAGTCTAAGAAAATAATGTAAATTAAAAAAAATAACCTTATAAAATAAAAGTATAAATATATGGTGGATTATAAATTTCATTCATAAACTTCTTAGGTTATAAAACTCCTAAATAAAACTTATGAATAAAAATTCCAAATTAATAATCATTTCATTTTTTAATAATAAAAAAAATTCAATTTTTCTTTTTTTTTTCTTTTTTCTCTCCCTTCCCAAATCACTTAGGCCTCGTTTGGGAATAGGCTAATTTAGTAACTTTTTGGCTATTTGGCTAAAAAGGTAGGTAAAAAAAACTTATATGTTTGGGGTGACTTTTTGGCTAATTACGAAAAGATGTGCAAAAAGTAGAGAGAAAAGAGAATCTTTGACTTTTTGGTATGAATTGTTGATTTTTTGACTAATTTAGTATTTTTTGACTAATTGACTAAAAAAGTAAATCCCCAAACGGGTCCTTAATTGAAGAGTGATCCCTTCTTGGGGAATTAAATGAGTGCACGCATTAAAAACCGAAAAGAAAAAAATAATAATTAAACTACAAAAGATCCACCGAAAAGTCCAAAAGCAACGTCAACCCAGTGGCTTTACTACACCAACCAGAAAGCTGAAAACAGTATAATCGCTTTGAATCTCATCTCTCTATTCCTATTCTTCTTATTACCCACCAGGTAATCTCTCTCTTTCTGTATCTCTATCTATATATATTTGTGTGAAACTATACACCCATACATAGATTGACTGTACTTGTCCTAATTCACCAGTTTGTTTGTGGGTTTTTAATCTTTCTTGATATGAATTTTTCATCTATCACAATTATTTGTGTATGGGTTTTGCCTTATTAGAAATACTTTTACATGGGATTAGTATGTTATTGCTTATGGGTTTGAAGATTTGTTTGCCTTGTTGAATTTGATGAATTCTGGCTTACTGCGTTAGTCTAGAGTTGTTTCAATTTAAAACAAAAAGGTTTGGTGGGTATAGAGAAGGCAGGATTGGCACTGTCAATGAATTGTATGGTAAAATAGAAGCCTACTGAATAAAACTAGAGCTAGTGGAGAGAGAATTACCTATATGGTTGGTTGGTTGATTTTTATTGGATGTCACCAAGTCTTATTGGCGATGTTGCATTTGACAAAGGATGGGTATTAAAATGCAAATCTTAGACTTCAACCATAGCTGTTGAAAAGCGAGAAGGGATAGGTCTTTGGAAAATAGTTAATATGTATACTAAACCATTTATTTGAAATGTGGAAGATCATTGATTTAGACTTGGTAGGTAGGTGGAAAGCGTAAAACATGTAGTTACACCTTCTCAACATGAGATGTCATTCTAGATATGAGCTGATGGAGAAGAAGGTTCTACATAGCAGATATGGATTGAGGCTTTGCTGAGTTGACTTAAGTACCCATTAGGGAGGCATAATTCATTTGAAATCATTTAGAATTTCATATGAGAGATTAAAGCTACAGGCTGATTCCTACGACTTTGGCTTGTCTTTAAACTTTGAAGTTAAATCATTGAAAGTTATTTGCTTAATTTGATTTATTTAATCTCAAAATGGTTTGGAGATATACTCATGTTGGTGTATGATATATTGTGAATTGCCTATCAGAATTCCTTAGGTTTTAAAAGAGACAGTTTCATTGGTATTCTTTCATTTATAGATTACATTTGTTGGTTGGGACTATTTAGCCTACAATCTAGTAAACCATTGTTGCAGCTTGCAACATCTGGTCAAAATGGGTTGTTTGCATTGAGATATCTCACCCGACATATGCTTTTCCTCAATTAAATGAGCTTTGTTAATTGTCTTGAAGGAAGTGCTTCTTAGAGAAACTATAACACATATTGGTAGTTGTGAACATGGAACCTAACAATATTCTTGAAACTAGAAGCTAGCTACTGATGCTCTCATGACACTCTGTCACCAATGATTTCACCCTCTTTCTTTCTTTCTTTCTTTTTTAGGCCCTATAGAACTTTCTCATTTATACATGCTATACGTTCTCTAGATTTTTTAAGCTTGCTTTCATATCAAATATGGAAAGCTACTTCACAAGGTTTGTTTCCAATGAATACTTTAACAATCTGCTCATAATTTGGTATGACATCCCAAAGGGCATTGACTTGTCATTTTCAGATAATTATAGTTTATACAACTTTGATTGAATCAAAGCCGAGGACTTCACAACTTCCCATTCCCACTCTCCATTTTGAAACGATTGGTTGGATTTTGGTTGGCATTAGATGTTTAATTTCTATGATGACTTATGCTCTGCAGCTATATCCTAACCTCGTTCTTAATTCACTCTTAGGACACATATTGTGTTTTAACCCTTCCAATCATACCCTTGCCCACAAATATATCTTTGAAGTATTTTATATTGGGTGTTATGTCTTATTCTTTAGTTAGCATGTATTAAGCTCCTTGATCGGAGAAGTCGCTTTAGTGACCATAAGAAGCACGTTATTTCCAAAGATCCACCTACTAAGGTGAAAGCATGTAGTTTTTCTATTTTTCATGCATGTAACATTCTACTATGTTAGTCGGTATTAAGGTCAAGACTAGCCCATTACAACCTATAGTTCAAACTAAATTATCTGTGGTCAGGAACTTATTATGAACAAACCCAGCTAGACTAACAAGGATAAAAACAACCTATATAATATGAATACAATGCAAGGGTATTTTGCTTTTCAATCAAAATATGTTGTACTGTTTCGCTTGTATCTGCATCGTCAACTACGGAATCTGCTTATGCGACTCAACTAAACTTACCAAATACAAGACTCAATATTTTGAATGAAATTTAATTTCCAACACAAAAAATGATATGAGAGTAAATTTTTCCTCAGATTTCTAATTTGATAATAAAATTTAAAATTTGTTACATTTAGAACTGACACCTTGTTCTCCGTGTAGGACTATTTTGCCAAAGAAGTGTAAAACACATCCAGATAATGGGGAACACTGAATCAATGTCGGATGATACTCAGGATGATTATTTAAATCAGCCCCCTTCATATTCAAATAATCAACCCCCTTCATATCCAACTAATAAACCCCCTTCATATCCGAAGAATCAACCGCCTTCATATCCAAATAATCAACCCCCTTCATGTGCCGGAAGTTCAATGGATCCTACCTATCAAATAAAGCAGCAAAGTCTTTGCATAGCGGATAATTTCAATTCCTTGGATGAGGTTTTTAATTATTTCATATTCGTATATTAACTTTTCCTTTATAACTTTTTTTTTTGCCTGATTACATCATTAGTGAAGGAGCCTTTATTTAATGTGCTTGTCATGCTATTTGATACCTTAATGAATGTTATACTTTTTAATGAGTGTGAAGAACATATGTGATGCATGGACAGTTAAGAAATAACATGTTCAAACATTAGTATAATTGAAATGAGAAAGTTGAGATTGACGAGTGTTCTTGTAAAAAAAGTTTAGGGAGAAGGAGAATTAGAAGTGCCTCCAATTAAATATACAATGAGGGAGACACTTGAGATGGTATGGTATGTGCATTGTAGACCAATTAACATAAAGTATGGAAGAGTGTTTTGATCTACGCTGAGGGTGGTAAAAGAAATTAAGAAGGCCGATGAAGAAGTATATGCCTTAAACTTAACAGAGGATATGACTTCTAATAAGAGATAACAATAGGAAATGGGTCCATGTACCCGATACCAAGTAATTGGGGCAAAGGCTTGTTGAGTTGAGTATCAAGATGCTAGGAAGGAAATATATTGCCATTAGTATTATAAAGAAGATACCTGTATGAATAGCATGTAGTTCTACTTGTGGTCCTTCTAATCAAATGTTATGGGAACTCAACCTATAATTTATTATCCTCCATTTTCTGTTTTTAAAGGTAGATACATACCATACTTCGGGAGTTATTTATGCTTTACTTATACTCCTAGGTAATCTCGGCACTAAGAGAAGCTGGCCTTGAATCATCAAATTTAATACTTGGTATTGACTTCACAAAGAGCAATGAGTGGACAGGTGACCTTTTATTGGCAGTGGTGATTATTTTGTAACTTCTAATCAATTGAGAAGATCATTTGACATTTTAATGATTGTAGGCAAGCAATCATTTAACAGGAAAAGCCTCCATGCAATTGGTAACACACCTAACCCCTATGAGCAAGCAATCTCTATAATTGGCCGCACTTTGTCTCCATTCGATGAAGATAACTTGATACCTTGTTTTGGATTTGGTGATGGTTAGTCCTTGCTCATGACTGCGCTATTAGGTTGAGTTCCCTTGGATTTTTGTTGTCTAATAATTCTATATTTTCCTTATATTTTCTGGTAGCATCAACGCATGATCAATATGTGTTCAGCTTTTACCCTGATCATCGATACTGCAACGGATTCGAGGAAGCTCTCTCACGATACAGAGAAATTGTTCCTTACATAAAGTTATCAGGTCTTGAAATATACTCTCCTTTACCCTTATTTATCCAACATCTTTAAATAATTTTTTATTGTCAATTAAAAGTGTGGCCCACAGCTCAGTTGGGTGCAGGAAATAAGGGTTGAAGAATGTCTTATTCACCTGCTGACGTATATTCAGTATATATATTAGGGCAATTTCACTTGTGGACTAAAGTGCAGCTTAAGAGAAAAGATTGAAATACCTTTGTACATAAGTAACCTCATTATGCAAACCACAAACATTTTCGTCTTCTTTTTGGGAAGCAAAATTCACTTTAACCCCCTATGCTTTACTCCATGTGTGATTTACTCTCTCTGACATTTAGAGATGAGCACATAACCCCTTTATGTCCTGACACATGTTTCAGCCTTAAGGTTAACTTGGACGGAATGTCTAACGGTGCACTTTAGTCTGCAAAAACCATAATGGTTATGTGCTTATTTCCAAATGTAGGGGGTAACAAGGGCCAAACCACAAAGGGGTAATAAGTGGTATTTGCCCTAGATATTATTAAAGAAAAAGGAAACCAAGAAATATGTCATCATGCAAAAATCTCTCCTTGCTTTGCAGCTACATTTATTATTAGGACATCCAAAGATTAGGATTTTATTGCATTATAAAATTGAGTTTCATATATGTCTAGATGTCAGCTAGATCTAACCTTACCCACAACAAAGTGGTTGAATTGGTTCATGATGAATATGAGCTTTAATGACTTTGCATTAAAAAAAATTATGGTGAAAAGAGATATGCACACCATAGCATTCCCTAAAGAACAAGAGGATTAAATCAGTCATTATAAAATTTTATATTTTCCAACCAAGTAGAAGTAGATATCCACCTACCAAAAAGACTACTTATGCCACCAAATACTTTACTTATGTTTTCCAACCAAAAGGCATTGCTTGGTGCAATGGTAAAAGCTTGGGTTGATAAGCGTGAGAATGTGATTGAGTTTTAAAATAGCCACTTTGTGTTTTATAGTGCAAAGGTTAGAAATGTCTCCATCCTAATCCTCCCAACACCAACAGGGAACAACACTGGGTAATATCTTTTTTTTGTTTGTTTACTTTTTTTTGTGCTCGGGATTGAGACGATGGAGGGGAAGGGAGGTGGTGGTATGGTTTCTACATTCATAAATTAATCCGTAGACCTTGCACTTAAGTAAAATGCAATAAATAGAGGGGTTGTTTGGGAAGTTGGCTTTTTGTTTAAAAAAATGAAGGAGCCAAAAAAAAGCCAAAATGTCACTAAAAACCCAAAAAACTAAAAAGCCACTAAAAAAGCAAATTATACAAATCAGTCTTCATGTTTTTCCATGCTACAGCTTTCACTTGCACCGCATACTATGAAGCATGAATACAGATACAAGACACGGGTATGATACAATATGGATACGACGATACGACAAAACTTAAAAAAATAAGATACGAGTACGGCTAGAATATGCTTGTGATTTTTTTTTTATATATAATTTTTAGTAGAGGAAATTACAAAAAAAAAAAAATCAGTGTTTGACTCTTGCTAGAATATGCTTGTGATTTTTTTTTTATATATAATTTTTAGTAGGGGATATTACAAAAAAAAAAAAAATCAATGTTTGACTCTTGTAACAAAATAAATCTTAAGTTTTTCATTTTGACAATTTAAACCCTAATCTTTCAATTTGTTTTCAGTCTAAATCATTAGTCTATTTTTGTTAAGTAAAACTGACAAAAAAATGGTATTTTAATCATTAAACTCTACGAAAAATGGTATTTTAATCATTAAACTCAACGGAAAAGGGTATTTTAGACATTTTAGAGTTTAATGATTAAAATACCATTTTTTCGTTGTTTTATTTAACGAAAATAGGTTAATAGCTTAGATTGAAAACAAATCAAAAGATTAATTAGATTGTAAATTGACAAAATTAAAAACTCTGTGTTTATTTTGTTACAATGATCAAACCCTAAGGGGTTTTTTTGGTAATTTTCTCTTTTTATTATTGTATTATACATAAACTGAAATTAAGAATTAAAGTTGTGTTTGGATTAGGATTTGGAAAGGGAAAAGGAAAGGGAAATGGAAAAAAACAGAGCTTAAGCATTAGTTTAAGAGCTAATAGCCAACCGTTACTTTTTTTTAGAAGTCTTATGAAAATTCCATTTCCAAATCCATCCAAACAGAACCTAAGTATTAGTTTAAGAGCTAATGGCCAACCATTACTTTTTTTAGTAAATTCTATGAAAATTCCATTTCAATATCAAGTTTAAATTGTGTTTATAGTCCTTGCACTTTTCCCTTTCATACTTAAATAAATGTATTATATGCAAAAGTGTTGTACATAACTTTAGTTGCTTTTTAACTGTTGAAATCCGATTTTAGTATCATTATATTTTCTTATTTATCTTACTTTCTAAGAAGTTATAGCTATAGATATGGAATACATATACGACACATTTATAAGAATTTGTCAATTTGATAAATTTTGAAAAAGTAGGTTTCTACTCTAATCTCACTAGTTTCTTCTTCTCTAATGTTGTGCAAGAATTATAATATCACAATCTCACTTTCAAAATAGTTCGGATACATGACTTATCTCAAAAGTATCCGATACTTCTCAAAATTAAAGAAAATTAATATCAAGTATTGGATACGTTTAGGAAGTATCAGATATGTATCTTCAAGTATCCAAGGAATATCAGTATCTAATATGGGTATAACTTTCTTTTGGAAGTATTCGTGCTTCATAGACCACATACAAGCTCACTTACCTCCATGAAAATGTAATTATTTTGAATTGTTCCTATTTAAGTGCACTTTGTTGGAATATGTCCCACATCACCTGGAGTTACCCCATCTATGTGTTAGAATGTGTTTCATATCGCCTGGAGTTGCCCCATCTATGCTAGTTATAAGGTTTTAGTTTCCCTCTCCTTAATACCTAGGTTTTAAGAAGAAGCATGAGTTAGGCTTTTCAATTTGGTATCAGAGCTTGGTTAGGCGTGTGACTGGTGGGCCATTTGTCCAGCTAGTGTATGTTATGGTCCAGGAGGGTGTGTTGAAATGTGTCTCACATCGCTTGGAGTTGCTTTATCTGTGCTAGTTATAAGGTTTCAGTTTTCCTCTCCTTAATACCTGAGTTTTAAGGAGAAGTGTGGGCTGAATTTTTCAATTTGGTATCAGAGCTTGATTGGACCTATGACTGGTGTGCCGTTTGTCTGGCTGGTATATGTTGTGGTCCAGGAGGGTGCGTTGGAATGTGTCCCACATTGCCTGGAGTTGCCCAACTCCAGGCGATCTGGGACACATTCCAATGCACAGATAAGGCAACTCTAGGCTATGTGAGACACATTCTAACACACCCTCATGGACCACCACAGACACTAACCAGACAAACGGCACACCAATCACAGGTCCAATCAAGTTCTGATACCAAATTGAAAAGCCCAACCCACACTTCCCTTAAAACCCATATATTAAGGAGAGGAAAACTGAGACCTTATAACTAGCACAGATGGGGTGGGGCAACTCCAGGCGATATGGGATACATTTCAACACACTTTTCCCAATTATCTATTAGGTTCACTAATCACGAGCACAGAGTAAAGCGTGTAATTGATGAGTGTGTGATTGGCATTGATCCTTGTGATTTTAAGGTTCCAAATTTGAAACCTAAAAAATGAACCACAATATAAGCCCCGAAGTGTCACTGAAAGGACTAAATAAGATTCCAGCAAGTGTACTTCTGCTGATCTGGAACTGAATAAAAAGCAACCATTGTTTGACCAAATATTTTTTGACATTTGCCTTAACCCTAGCAAAGGCTTATCTTATGCTTGCGTTGCAAATGGTTCTCATAAACAATTATATAGGCTGATCCACTTATCTCATGAAATGATGAGTTCTATTTAAAGAGATCATTTTTCTTTAAAATATAATTTGATAATTAGGATGTGCCATGATTATTTTATTTTTCTAGTTGTAAATGGCATGCCATCTTGTTACAGATGTAGATATTTGAAACATGTATCTCGAGCTTTAAATACATTACATTGCAGCTAATTTTCTACCATAGTAGAAAGTAAACTAGTTCCACATTTGGCTCTATAATGTTATCCTTCTGTGCATTCACTCAATGAATAGGTCCTACCTCATTTGCACCTATAATTGACGCTGCAATTGATATTGTGGAGAGAAGCAATGGGCAATATCATGTGCTCGTCATCGTTGCAGATGGACAGGTTTGGAACATGATGGGTGTGTTTGGCTTGTGTTTTGAGATAAATTTTCAAAAAAAAAATTTGGAGAGAGAGTTTAGAATTTTTTTTTGATTTGTTTGGTTGTATGTTTTGAAAATAATTTTAGAGTTTGAGAGTTTGAAATGATTTGATATTTTGTTATAGTTGAGTAGATGTGTGTGTGTGAAAAAATGATTGAGAATGAGAGAGAAGAGAGAAAAATGATTGATTGATGTGTAGGGAAAAGAAAGTGATTTTGGAAAAAAAAAATTCAAAAAATTTGAACCAAACAAAATTTTGAAAATTTTTCTCAAAAATTGTATTTTAAGATACAAACCAAACAAGTCCGATGTCTTATTTGGGAGCTTTTATCCACTCATCACAGAAATTCTCAATTCACATCATTTTTCCATTCGGATATCAACTTCTTAACAAAAATGAATTATTCGGATATGAACTTTCAAACAAAAATGAGCTGTTCAGACATGAACCCTGTTCGATGGTTGATATCCCAACATTTGATTTTTGTTCGGAAGTTCATGTCCTAATGACACCAATGGTGTGAACTGAGAATACGGTGTGTAAATAGAAGCTCCCTATTTATTTTTAGCATTTATAATAAATCGTAATGAAACTGTTTTGAAACTTTTGTAATATGAAATTAGGTTACCAGAAATTCTGATACACCGCCTGGAAGATTTAGTTCACAAGAACAGGCAACTGTCAATTCTATAGTTGCTGCAAGGTAAAAGAGTTACCATATGATGAGCTTGACTATGATTGCTGTCTTCAATTGTTAATTGATGGCATTTAATTAACAGTCAATATCCGCTTTCAATTATCTTGGTTGGTGTTGGAGATGGACCATGGGATGCAATGAAACGATTTGATGATAACATTCCTCAACGTGCATTTGATAATTTTCAGGTACTTTGAGAATTGTTGCATCATCTTGATAAATCCCAATCTTTTCATTTTCCATACTATAACATTTACTAAGCTGTGTTTTTTCCTTTCCTTTTTTGGATACCCTTTTTGTTTGGTATGAAATCACCGTTTAGTTGCAGAAAGACCCCCAACACCCTGAATTCAGTGCTATTGGCCACAGAAAAATGTTTTTTTTTTGCCCATGTTGAACCCGCTGTATAGAGAAATTATTTTAGTTTGCATGCCATAGCTCTGATTGCTGTGGAACAAAATGAAATTTGTTAAAACATGTTTTTTGTTTATCCTCCATATAAATTTTTTCCCTGCTCCACAGTTTGTAAATTTCACAAAGATCATGTCTGAGAACACAGACATGGAAAAGAAGGAAGCAGCTTTTGCCCTCGCCGCTCTCATGGAAATTCCACTTCAATACAGAGCTGCACAAAGCCGTCAGCACATGGAGTAAGGCTGAAAAGCTGTAGTTTAGGTTCTTGGTATTATTTATTGTAGTGCAGGGATCTAGTGAATATACTAACTTGTTCACTTATGTAGTAGAAATACGGGAGGTCCACGGACAACGCCTCTGCCTCCTCCGCGTGCTGTGATAGATCATGATAATGCGGTTAAATCAATCCCACACATGACAAACTTCGAACCAATAGACCAAACACCAGTGGAGCAGGTAAAGTTCATTTTTCTTTTGTGGAAAAAGGAAACGTGCTCATTTCTCCCGCTTTAGATTCCTGCAGTTGGTTTTTAAAAAAATTTTGGTTGTGTTTTACTAGGTGTGTCCCATTTGCTTGACAAATCCTAAGGATATGGCTTTTGGATGTGGTCATTTGGTAAGCATTTTGAAAAAGTTATTTTGTTGGTCTGGACATCAACAGTTGCAATGTACACTTGTGTTTTTGGGATCGAAATTATGTTCATACAATTTTTCCTCAAACTAAGCTCACACTCCATATTTTATTATGATATCTCCAACCATATTTGCATTTATATTCATGTTTGGGTGAAACTGTTTTTTTCTTTTCTAATTCTGGCATTGGAGGGATGCAGATATTTTCATTGGTTGTCCTTTCTGCTTGAGAGAGAGAGAGAGAGTATGATATTAGCTGTGAGCCTAAAAACCACAACAAGTGAAACAATTTTTATTGGGTAAATTACACTGACCTCCCTAGAGCTTCGGATAAAATACAATTAGCCCTATAGTTTTAGTATAATTACACTAACGTCCCTCAAGTTTTAAATTTGAGGACAATCTAAACTACATGTTAGAAATTTGTTAATTATTTTACAGTAGACTTAATTTGTATAATAAAATTCCAAATTTATTCTTGTTAAAACAATTTAACCGTATTAAATGGGTTAATCTTATTTCTTTACTGTTTTTATCTTCCTCTACCCCTCCCCTTCTCTCTCTCCCGTCTTCTCTATCACGTCTCCCTTTTGCAGAACATTGTCATGCCTCCAACATGCCAAATCCATCGCCTCCGACATAGAAGCCACACCACCCTCGCCTCACCTTCCCCTTCCTGTTCCCTCACCTCCATATTTTCTCCCCTGTGACCACCATGGGCCCGATTCCCTCTTTTGCGCCCTCATCTCCTATTAGTAGTGCCACCTCCCTAGCCCCCTCCACCACGACACCCCGCTCCGACCTAGGTCACTTCCACCATTGCAACCCTCCAACTACCTCATTCTCCCTCATAATGGTGGCTCAGAATAATGATGATTCTACTGAAGTTGAAGAGAGACAGATGTTGATTTTACCACCTCCCACTCCCTCTTCCTGATCAACAGACTTGTGACCCATACCAAAATAATCAAAATTTGAACAATTTAAGCTTAAAAAATTAATCAAAAAATTTCAAAAACTCATTATAAAAATAAAAAATAAAAAAAGAAGAGGAAAATCCAACACCACCCAACTCCACCCCTTCTTCCTCTCCAATGCCGTCCAACCCTTCTGATCAATGTCTTGCAACCCTACCCCCTTCTTCCTCTCAGTGCCTTCCACCATCCTCTTCCTCTTTATTAACAACAACAACAATGAAGCAAAAATTTGAATTAAAGAAAAAGATGGGGAGCAATAAGACGTTCGCAGTGGCATGTGATGGAGCTGGTGATGGATTGCGATGGAGGAGCTGGAGGTTTGTTGTGGCTGTCTGATCATTGTTCATGGCAGTGTGAGATAGAGGCAGCGACAATGTGCTATGGAGGAGTCGGCAATTGGCGATGGTGTGATGAAGACGGCGGCAACATGCGATGGAGAGGATCCAACGATGCTGACGTGCTATGGAGGTTCTCTCTGGTGACTTCTGCATGTGATGAAGGAGCCGGCATGAGGCTTTATGGAAGGCTTCGAATACGCTACAATAACCATTTTATTAAAACTAGTGGTTGGCACACGTGATGCGTGTGCACTTCAAATAAGTAAACATAAAACCAAATATTTATTTATATTTTGTGCCACTCAAATGGTAAGAGCCTTCTTCGTTAGATCCAAGGTCCAAGGTTCGAGTCGCACACCTCCCATCTAAATTTTTTGTTCTAAATAGGAAAATGGACACCACCAAAGGTGTTCACTTTATCTAAGTTTTTTGTTTTAAATACAAAAATAGACGCCATCAAAGGTGTTCACTTTATGATAGTATAGAAGATAGATAGATAGATAGATAAAGGCAAAGATGTAATTTGCAACAACTGTTAGTTTTGTTACATTTGTTTTTAACGTAATTATATCAAAACTACGAGGCTACTGTATATTCTCCATTCCTCCAGGGATGTCGGTGTAATTTACCCATTTTCATTTTAGGTACTATAACTGATCTTCTGTGTATAGTTTAAATAACCAATTTCAGCTATGACAAATCAAAATCTAACGCATGCTAAATGCTACACACAAACAAAAACAAAAACAAAAACAAAAATAGAAAAACTAATGTGGTATAATTGTATCTGATGTCCGATGAACAACAAAAATACCATTCCTTTTCCTCATTGGTCTAGATTTTGCACAACTATTTAAATAGAGGACTGTTGTTGCAAATTGTTCCTTTTCTTACTCTTTTTTGAAATTTTGCCTCATTTTAGACATGCAAGGATTGTGGTGTGACCATTTCATCTTGCCCTATGTGCCGGCAGCCCATAACAACTCGCATTAGACTCTACTCTTGAAAGGGAATGTGAAGCAACACTCTGCCCTCTACAGTTATTCTGAGACAAAAATTATGCAATATTTTGGTTACTTCTCTAGTTTGTTCTTTGCGCAAGTCATACTTGTGGTTGTGTTCAAGGTAAGGTGTGGAGAGTTTTTAATGTTGTTGTTAGTATACTTTTCTGTGGGAAAATTGTCCAATTCATTTTGTAAATTGATTTGGATATTCTGCTGCTGCTTCTGATTGGTATCTGCCAGGGTTGTATTTAAAGCTCTCTTCTTTCACATACTTGAGTCCCACAATCTAGGGCCATGAATGTTGTTGTAATCTTAAGGAATGTCAATAATATGAACTAACATATTTTTTCTCTATCCTCCCCCTCCTTTTTTTTCTGGTTTTGGTAAAGAAAAAATCTACAAAATTATTAATTTAAACAAGATATGGCCCGTACCTTGGTTCCTTGAAGCATCCATATTTATTGGAGAAATGGGTCTGTCAAAATTTTGAATGTGGTTTTATTTTTTTAGAAAGAAAAACATTAAAAATCTCAAAAGTTTTACTAAATATTTTACCAAATGTTTCGCATTGATGTGTGACTCACACTACGTGAGTCTCACACTCACGTGAAATATTTAGTAGAAATGTCTACTTGTGCTGTATTTTATTTACTTGTGTTGTGGGGCATATAATCTGAGTACTTCTAATCAATAAAATTTATTTATGATTTGTTTTCCCTTATTTCTCTCCATGTGGAATTAAGGAATCCCCTAGTGAATTCTAGGGCTTTGCATCTAATATATATATATATATATCAAATTTGTTTTAATTCAACACTTAAAATTTTATCAAACAAATTTTCAACTTAAAAAAAAAGCATTCAACATTCAACTTTCAATACTTCATTTTTAATTCACTATTTTTAAAACAAAATAAAAAAGAAAATACAATACAATACAATAGTAATACAAAACACGGTTGGACATGTGAGCCTTACCTCTTAGACAACCCTAAGCAAGCCTAACAAAAAAATTCTGCACAGGCCTCGGGAGGGGATGGTGCTAACTCGTACACAAGTGAAAATCACCTAATTCTATCAGAAAAACTTGGCTATGTAGAACACCCATGAGAAATCCTCAGAATTATGTAGCAAAATTTCATATACAACTCCGTTAATCATGTCTGGTTCTTCAAACGCTACCAATCAGGAGATTGGACTTCTGCAAAATATATATCCACTTCAAAAAAAGAATGCTAACTAGAAGTTCCACCGATCTAATTGGACCTTTGCTTCTGCCATGTCTTTCTGTGCCTTTTTCCTCCGGTAAAATATTGGACAGTCCCGGCTGAACAAAAACATACCATTGAAAGATCAAGACACAAACAACACAAAGAATAGAAAGAAACAAGTGTCATAAGTTCAACCACCAAGGCAATTAATCAGCCATCATTTGAGACATCAAACTGAAAGACCAAAACTGAAAGACCAAAACCAAAGGTACGAAACCAAAAGTTGAGTTTAAGGAAAACCTAGTGCACAAAACATCCTGATGAAGAGAACCTTGACACTCCTGGCATTGCGTCCACAGCCTCCCAAAAAGCTTCTCTAAGTCGGACACTGCAATCAATCCATGTTTATTGGTTATTCCAGCACGCTTTCAGAGTCAAATTTAACATTGTAATATCAAATGAGTAAAATTTCTAGCATACCATTTGCTACAGTTTTGCAATAGAGTTCAGCTTCTCTTCCTTTGCAATGTGAACAGAGAGTTCGATCAGAATTGCTGGTCCAAACAACAGCAATTTTCATGATTAGAGAAAAACAAATGCATGCACATGCACCAAATTCTCAAAGAGGAGAGCATGGACTTTCATTTCTTCCATAATATAATATTACTCACTGCCAAATATAGTAATTCTTTTTGGGTGAACCACTGAACTAAACCCAAGTTTTAACCCTCAAAAAGTATTGTATGGAACTATACAAGATCTTTTGTCTTTTAATTGAGAGAGAGAGAGACACGTTAGTGGCATTTCTAAACTGGGAAGTCATTCCCATTTGAGCACTTCAGCAAACATTGGTGTTTTTATTTTTTATTTTTGGCCACAGTAGAACATGCAATATATGTTCACTCTCCAATAAGATTTATGGAGTTTGTTGGCACTAATAATTAGACATTAATTTGAGTTAAAGGAATCACTTAAGAGTTGCAGTCTTTGTCTGTTGAAGCTAATTTTCAATTTTTAAAAAAAATTTAACAGTAGTGAGGAGTATAAAAAAAAATTAGAAAAACAATGGAAGCATTTAGTCCTCACATGAAGTAACGAAACATGGAAACAGCATAGCATTTGAACTCTACCTGATTAGAGCCTTGCAGCCAATGCAACTAAGTTGCTTCTTAGCAAATTTCATTATGCCACTGTTTGAAGGAGTTGAGATGGAGATAGATCTTGTGTGACTTCCTTGAAGAAGTTCCTTACTGGCATTCTTCAAAATGGGCTCAAAAATTCTTAAAAGTGGCTGCAGGTGCACATTATTTAGGAGACCAAGTTGAACAAGGTAAAAGATAAAATGCAGAGTATCAGATACTAAACTAACCTTGCTTATTTGATTTTCAAGGTAGTATTGAGGGTCTATAGGTATACTATTTTCTAGCACGTAAATAGGATCCTCCGACTTCTCATAAGCCTGATTGTCATCATCAAATGATCAATTTGATTCATACACCAAGCACACAAAACACCAATGTGGTTATGAAAAGATAAAACTATGAAACAGATTACCTTGGCACCTTTTGCAGCTTTAATAATGACATAAGGTACTCTATCGCCGACATTTGGAGCAGTAGCAGCATCTCGCTGTCAATTGAAACAGGGACAACTTAAAAAAATTTCATTACTTGACCAATTAAATTGGTGTTATGGACACCTCAATTGAACTTATAAACATTATACTGTTCATACCTCAAGCATGTGTAACAATAATATAGAAGTGTGTCATACACAATGTTTTGAAAACCAGACCGTTGATCAAACCGCAAAAAAGACCGGGTCAAGGGTCACTAGTGTTGAATATAGAAATTAAAGTATATCGAATCCTTTTATTTTTAATATTATGTCTATAATCTGTGATTGCGTCAATCACTGATTTAATATTGTTTTCTTATTTATATAGGTTCCTTATTTATATCGTTTCATGAATCTATTATATATACATGGCCTCTACCTCATTCATGGGTAAGCCAAATAATTCTTTTCATTCTTTTTGATATCAGAGTTAGGTTAAGTACCCAATAATTTTGCTTCACCGGCGAATGGTAGCGTTGCCTTGGCCGCCCGCCGAATCTCAACCCATTTCACTGCCATATTTTCTTTCAGTACCACTTCGTGATAATCTCTTCCTCTATCCACTGGTTTATTCATATCCCAAATATCTCCATCATATTTTTTTTACTCGCAATATATTTTTGTGTGTTTCTGTTCCACTTTGTCTCTCTATTTCAACCTCAAATAGGTTTTTATCTTCAAACCTATTTGAGTTTGAAGAAGAGGTATTATACCTATATAATGGTGAGCATGGTGATATACCATGCCGCTCCCTCTAGCGCACAACCCAAGTCTCTCTCTTGGCACACCACCTAAGCCGCCCCCTCTAGCGCACCACCAAAGTTGCCCCCTAGCGCACTATCTAATAAGCCGCCCCTTGGCGCACTCAGTCATCTATTGTCATCGTTCAACACCACGTCATAAGTTATGTATGTGCCACACTTGCTGGTTCAACATCCAGTTCTCTACATCAGTCCAGCGTGACCCCATTAAATTATCTTGACATTGATTCCGACTAGTCTCTACAACGGTCCAACATGACCCCTTTAAACTGCCTCGACATTGATTCTGGTTACTACAACGGTCCGACACGACCATAAACTATCTCTCGGCATTATTAGCTTTGGCCTGTAATGCCAACCAGGGTCTTGTTGGCTACCGACCAAGGTGTTTCCTGGCCATAGATGCTTCGGCAACTCTTCTAGGGCAATTCAGCCCCTGTTTTTTCCCTTTCCAGGGCGTGGTGCTGATGTATTAAGCACTTTTTCGACATTTTTCATTTAGAGGACTACCAGATTTGCTCAATAGCATTTATTTGAACTAGCCGTTGAGTTTTTTCCGACTTCTTCCAATCATCCATTAGCAAGTTATGACTGTTGAATATCTTCACACCAGCTTGAGGGAGAGTGTTGAATATAGAAATTAAAATACATAAAATCTTTTTATTTTCAGTATTATGTATATAATCTATGATTGTGACAATCGCTTATTTAGTATTGTTTCCTTATTTACATTTTTTCCTTATTTATATCGTTTCTTAAATTATATCATGAATCTATTATATATACATGGCCTCTACCTCATTCATGGGTAAGCCAAATAATTCTTTTCATTCTTTTATTGGTTCAACCAATGAGCCAACCGGAATCAAACCATGATGTCATAAATGTATTAAAAATTATATATTAAACTTAGAAACTTAGAAAATATGAGGAAGAAGGAATATATTTCTGTTATATTCAAAACTTCTTATCTTACAAGACCAAATGACACTCCTTATATAGGAGATATTACAAACATCATCATAACCCATTATATGCCACTTACATATTATATATTACCACTATCATATTATATACATGCCACTATCTACCACCAACACCACTATCATATTCTATACATGCCACTATCTACCACCAACACCACTATCATATTCTATACATGAACACAATTTCCAGCAATTAATTTTAAAAAATAAATATTAAATTTACAAAAAAGATTACCCAAAAATTTAAATTTTCTTAAAACAATTTTCTAATGCTTTCCTTTATTTCTAAAACAAAAAAAATCATAAATATATTTATTTAAATTATTTTTAGTTTTGTATATTATTTGAAAATGAAATAATAATATTTGTTGTTAACTGAATCATATAATAAATAATATATAATTTCCTTTTACTAGCAACTTGCAACTTGTAGTAATAGCATAGTGGATAACATGCATCTTGCTATAAAGAAAGGCCTGGGTTCGAATCCCAGCAGCACATATTTTTTACATAATATGTGCAATTGTGTTAACCGGGTGGTTGTGGTGAACCACCTCCAGTTCACCCGATTCGACGGTCCAACCACGGCTACAACCGGTTTTACATAAATACCCTGGTTTTCTACTAGAAACGGTTATGGTGATTAGTCCAAACCGGAATCAAGACCAGGTGGCGGTTCAACCAGACAAACCCGATTCAACAGTCCAACCACAAGTATAAGCGGTTTTACATAAATTGGCAGGTTTTCTACTAGAAATGGTTCTGGTGGTTAGTCTGAAC